CCGCGGCTTGGGTTTCAATGCACTTTGGCGCCTGACAGAGTCGCCTTCCTCCCAGAATCTCTTTCCAGAGGCAGCAGACCCCGAGTGTGGAGCAGCTCCTGCACATCCAAGCGTGCTGGGGGCCAGGGTGTTAACCCAGGCAGCGCTGGTTAATTTCTGGTGCGGGAGGGCCAGGGTCACCGAAGCAAGCGAGCTGTAACGTCCGAGTGCTTATGGCTGACCCCAGACCCTAAGTCCTGGAGTCCAGTAGAAAGAATAAAGAGTAGTGAAAGGTCAGGAAAGTTATTTTCCTGGGGCCCAGAATTCTCTGAGATTTCACCCTAATACACAGTGGCACTCTCTACTCACATATTTGTTTTAGGATGGATCGGAGTTTAGAGAGCTGCACTGGCAAGCCAGCCGAGTTGCAAAGTTGTCAGTTCCAGGGCTTCTGAGTCAAGGAGCTGGTTCAGGTGGAGTCCTTAATCGGAAAGGAATCAGAGTCTAGACATTAAAAATTCTGTCTTCATTGCCTAGGCTTTATGGAGGGTACCAACACCCCCTTGACTACTCATCTCTGAAAGCTGACCTCCGGCTGACCCCAGCCCAATCCCTGCCTAATGCCTTTCTGGAATACCCTTCCAGGCCTTGGGTTTGGCACAGGAGGCGTCTCTGGTTTCCCAAGACTTGAGTGGGTCCAGATCACACAACTGCACTCTCTGCCTTCGCCCCAGCGTTGCTGCTGAGTGACCCTTGGAGCTGGATTCTAGCTTCCATAGGTCCCTAAGTATTGGTACTGCCTCTCTCCCAAGGAGTTTCTGCTATCTCCAGCTTTGGTTTGCAAATCTGATTTTCTTGGGAGGTGAAGAAGGTTGTAATACCTGACCTAGGGAGATGGTCATGAAGACTCCCCTCCCCCAAAGGCATAGTTGGATGAGGGTTTGCTTATATCCCTAGGCCTTTAGAACAGAATCTAGCTTCCAACTCCTGGGTAACTTTGTCTTGTTTGAGGAGGAGTAAGAGAGGGTGCAATATTTGCTGCAGCGAACCCTCTTACCCAGTGCCTTAGGTCAGTGCAGAAGTAAGAGATTCACATAAGTTTGTCCGTGTTCCTGGAATCTTAGCAGTTGCTAGGATGCAGTGACATTCTTGCTAGAGTGAGAACCCTTGGAAGAGAAGGGAACTGAGATCACACCTCCTTCCTAGAGATTCCAGAACAGCAAGCTTCAAGAGCAAGGAAAGGCCTGGAGGGCAAGTCTACAAAGGCCAATGTTGAACTTTGCTGGCTTCCACTTGGGGCACAGGGAGTGTGCTTGTTCCAGCCTCAGGCTCTCCAAATAAGCAAAGCTTGGGTAACCTCCACTACCAGCAGCAAAAGTTAAGAAGGAAAAAAAAAATGCCCATACAATAGGGCCTCTGGCTGTGCAGATCACTTAGGAACAGTGGCTGGTCATTCAGATGGGATGGAACCTCCTGGGGTGTAAATACCCAGTCTTCTGCTATGCACCCCTCACAGCTCAACCGGGCTTTTTTTATGTTTCTCTTTGTCTTTCTCTTCTAAAACAGGGCTCTTGGCCAATATGCCTCAGGACTTCCAGAAAGCTCTAAGTAGTAGGATCCCTAAAGAGCTCTTGGAGAGAAAGTGTCCCTGATCTTAAAGAAGAAACGCGCAACCGAATTGTTTCACCACTGCTTTGACAGATTATCTTGAAAACTGATCCTGACTCAGGTCTCTAGACTTCAGTGGATGTAGAGGTCTCTAGACCTCAGTGGATGTAGAGCAGGGTGTTGGAAGCAAGGTTGGTGTTGGTCCCCCAGGCTATGCCTCCCAGAGGAATCATGACCACCTCTGCCTGGAGCTGGTCAGCAAGACCAGAACAGGACAAGGCCAGCGTGTACCTGAGCGCTGGTGAGGATGGCCCTCCACAAGGGCTCACCTGTTTCAGAAGCCTGGCTTCAGAGAAGTGTCTCCTAGGTCGCTGACAATGCACAGCCTCAGAGAGCCAGGATAACGAAATTCAAGAATTGCTAGGAGCTGAAAAGTCCTCCATCCCACTCTGCGCTCCCAAGGGGGTGACCCCCAAACCCTAGCCTCGATCTCCACAGGAGGCCAACCAGAGTCGGGGTTCCCTCTGGGCGGGGGCAGGCAGGAAGAAGCCCAGGAAGCTAAGAATCCCTCATCTGGCCGCTCAGTGCTGGGGTATCCCATCCCCCGCCTATTTAAGAGAAACTGATCACATTAAGCGGGCCCTGGGTCGCAGCGTGGTGCCGGACTACGGCTTGGATGGATTGACAAGGGCAGGACTCAGGACACCTAAGAACAACAAGGGTACTTTTTAAGCAAGGTTAGATGTGTTTAGGACTAGCCAGGACGTCACGTTTCGAATTTGGTAACCGTCCTCGGTAACCCAACAGTTCTGTCCTCCTGGAAACCCAATGAAGGTGACAAAACTCCCATCTCATTACTGGGAGTCCAGCGCACTCTGCCACCGCGGCTGTAACTTCTGCTAGCTCTGAGGCTGAGGACTCCAGCCGGCGCGAACTCCGCCGCGGCTCTTTCTAGCTCTCTCGCTCACTGCCTTCGGGGCGCAACCGCGGGCGCCCGAGTAGTCCCAGACTCGGCTGGGACCGGGCAGCCTAGAAGAAGGGTCCCCGCAGTAGAGACCAGGCCTCCACCTCTCTGTCCGGCGCTCCGCTCCACAACCCGCCAGTCGGTGTGAGGTCCGTCAGGGGAGCGATCCCTCCGTCTGCCCGGGCCTCCGGACTATGGACCGCACTGAACCCAGTACCGCAGCAAGCCCTGCTGCCGCCTTTTCCTGGGCACGCCTGGGGTGGTGACTGCCGCTGCTCCTGTCTCCATGCCAAACCCCAGCCCCTCTCCAGATTCCTGCTCTTTGGGAAAGCGCCCCAGTCTGTCTTCGGAGTGAAAAGCGAGCAGCTTCCAGAAAATTAACTAGAATGTGGTCTATATTGCTTTGAGTTGTTTTGGGTTAAAAAAAAAATGAACCCCACCTCTCCGCACCCCATAGCCTAAAAAAAAAAAAAAAAAAAAAGGACCTCATTCTTTCAAATGGAATTTGCTCAGCACTTGAGAATTTTTGCTTCCAACGCAACTACTTCCTGTAACTATTTTGCAGACATTTGGGGGTCTGCTTGTTAGAAACCCCCTTACGCATGTACAGAGCTTTCAAATAACCTGGAGATTTAGGCGTCCCTCTGTATTCATTTAGATGATGGATAGTAATGGCTCAATAGTTCCTCTGGAACCATTACGGTCAATCAGGTCAAAATCCAGCTTGGGGGTGGGAAGCATTTTTAAGCACGGGAGGTAGTTAACAGGACTCCTGCGCACATTTGTTCAGATAACTCCTCTGATAACGTAATGCAATCCAGGGTTCTTAAAAGAACAGATGCCAGGTGAACGCAAGAGCCGGTGTTTTTTGTTGTGACAGCGACATACAAGTTACAGTATCAAAACTGAAAGGGAAAGTGAACTGTTTTTCCAGGCAGTTCCCGTTTGGTAAGTTCTTTACGGGCACACAAATGTAACTCTTTCACCTTTATAAATGTAACAACACACACACACACACCACACACATACCTTTGGTTTGTAAAAATATGTGTGACATGAAGCATAAATATGAGCATGGAATTGCACGGACATGCTACCATCGGGAAAATGGAATGATGTTGTCTTCTGTTGCGAAGATCAAATGTAAAATGTATGTAAAAGACGGCATGGGTTTTTACGTTTTACACATATTTGAGTTGTCAGATTATTTTAGACACATCCAGATCTATGTACTAAGGTTAATGAACTTTTCCTTTTTCCGAGGTGTAAATAAGTGCATTAGAAACAAGGCAGTGTCTAATCAGCCGGGGATGTTGGAGAACAGTAGTTTGAACGGAATTGTGGATAGTTAGGGTGGAATCCTGCGGATAGAGCCACCTACTGCACCCGCGGCGCTGGGTCCTGCCGGGCTGCACCCGCGGCGGGAGGCGCTGGAGGAAGGAGTGTTCGCGGTAATTAAACATTTCCAGACACCGGAGGGTTACTATCTGCAGAGCGATTTCCGGCGATGGGACTCGGAGAGAGTCCGGTTGCGAGGTTTCGAGATTCTGGGACGCAATCCTAAAGAAAACGTGCCCCCTGCTGGCGAGCAAGCCACATCTCGGGACCCCTTCCTGGAAAACTCTCTAACCCACAGTATCATTTCACTTTGCCCAAGAGTTTTTCAGTCCTTCAATTTTTCTTTTCTCAATTACGAAGTTTGCTGCTACTCGTTTAAAAGTACGCACACGCTTACCCTTCCAAAGAGCAAACGGAGGAGGAATTTCTTCTCGCCATGGGGTTTCTGTTTCCCTGTCCCAAACCAGACGTCGTTGCTCTCAGATGGATGAGGGCTTTTGTTTATGTGTTTGTTTGTTTTTAAAGAATCCGAAATTCCTAGCAACTATCTGCCGCCGTTCGCTTCTGGTCCTGGGAAGATGATGAGCAAAGAACTACTGGGACCCCATCCTGCATTTGCGAGCTGGGTCCGCGTGCCCCTCCCGGCACACCCAGAGGTGAGAAGTGCCCTCCGGTGCCTCCCTCCGCAGCCCCTCGTAGGTCTGCACGCCCTGCTTCGGATCCCAAATCCTGACTTTCTGAAACAGCGCGGGAAGGGAGATAGTCTGTTTCGGTGAATCGATTTCCCTGAAACACGTGAGGTTTCCTATCCTCTCCTTCCTCCCAGATCATTAGATTCCAATTCCTCTGCTGCTTTCTTTTTTTCAAATTTCCGTACAGAATATTGTAGCAGGACCCTCTCGTCATCATAGCTCCAGGTATTCAGATAGAGACCTGAAGAGAGAAATCCTAAGAATATACCTGTTAACAGGCTCTTTGGTCAATTTCTGTCTACAGAGGACTATGCCACATTGCATAGAACGAGTTCCTAAAGTGTCAGGTCCACTCATTGGAGCAAAACACCAAGAGAAAACAAGCAAGGAAAGGGCAGAGAGAAAGACAGATTCCCTACCTGCTCCAAGTTCTTAGAGGAAGGCTGTGTCCTCCAGCTGTCCATCACTCACTTTGCTCCTCTGAGGCAGGGCCTCCCACTTCCCTGTCCGGAGCTTGCAGTGAGGGGTGGAAAGGGAGTGGACCCAACTTGGACATTCCAAAGAATTACTACATACACCAACCCTCCCTAAGTGATGCAAAGCGGCACTGTGCCTCACCTTAATGCATGAGTAGAATTACCCACTGAATAGAAGGCCAGGTGCTTCTGCCTCTTTAGTGTTTATGCCAGGGGGGCTTCCTGGCTTCAGACTGTCACCCTGAAGAGGTGCTGAGCCCCCAAGGTGGTGGCCCAACTAGAAGGGGTGCTATTGCTCCTGGGAACTTGAAAAGCATCCTGCTGGATGTGGCTTTAATACCTTGTGTTCCTCTACCAAGTGCAACTTAAACTTAAGCATCAGTTTTGGGGAGATGAGAGGGATGGAAGGATGACAGATTGGAATTGAGAATGTTCCACAAAGGGAATAAATACAGTGAACTGGAAGGGGACCACCCCATCTGCAAAAATAAAAAACAAACAAATAAATAAAAATAAATCTTTCCTCTGATTTCTAGGAAGTTAGACTCAGGAGGAGGAGTCATAGAGTCATATTTGTGCATTTGAGTTACATCACAATGTAGTAGGGATTCTGCACACAGCAGAAAACTACAATCCCTTATTTATCCACCCTCAAAAGACGGATATTCTTCCTCCATGGTCTAGGCTGGAAGTGGGGGAACACTTGAAATGCCAGTTCCTACCATAACTCTCTTCCTAGGTGACTCCAGGCAAATAAATTTGCTGGTCATATCTCCAATTCCCTACATGAGAACCTTTCTGTGGAAAAGAAAAGCATTTGCTGAAACACTTGAAGTAGATACAAAACAAACAAGAAAGAAAATATATATTAGCATATGTTTTTTCACTTCAAAATGACCAATGGTTGGGTTCTTTTAGTACATTTAGGTATTGGTTTTCATATCACATGTCAACAATAAAGAAATGGAGAGAAAACTTAAAACTAAAGTAGTATAATCTATCCCACATAGAGAGTTTCTGGAATCATGACTTGGTTTGCCAAAATTTCATTCTGTAACAAACATTTCAGGAGATTATCTAAGGAGGAATAAGCCATGTAATGTAGTCAGGATAGTTCATTCTTAATTTTCGGAGAAGACAGCTGATGGGAGCTGCGCCAGGCTATCAGATCCACACAGATAGAAAAGGAGATTAGTTCTCAGTGCCCAGGGTCCTGTACAGGCAGCAAAGTAACTGGGAGCAGGAGTGCCACTGCAGGATGCCTGGACAGAGAATTTCATTCTTAGCCAACCTGGTACAAGGGCCACCCACTGAGGAAAGGGAGGGCCGGGCACACACCCCAGTTCAGTTCAAGGGTGGGTCAGTCAACTAGTTCCTGCCTGTGTGGTATCGGAGAGTTAAGGTGTCAGTGGTTTAGACAGGTGCTTTTCAAAAGTCCTGTGCCATGAAATCACCTGGAGAGTTTGTCAATATGCAGATTCCCGGGCCTCATCCCCAGCACTCTGATTTAGGAGGCCCACAGTGGGCTGGGGAGTTGGCAATTTTAAAAAGCTCCACTGATGACTCTGGCACCAGTGGTCTTTAGAGCACATACATATTGAGAACCATTAGTAAAGAATGATTCTACCCAGTAGGGTCTGGGTCTTGCTAAGGAGAATCCTGAGGATTGAAGTTATCCAGATGTCAAGAAATGGCTCTTTATTAAAGCGTTACATGTACTTCAGTATGTTTCTTCTTGTAAGGACCAGAACTGATATTCATCAAAGGCTTTCTTAGCTCCTAATCTTGAAGACAGCACTGGCTACTAGGGGCCTGAAGGGTGATGTGGGGGCAAGGTGCTTGGGTTTGCTTCCAGTCACATCGTGGAGAGGTTCCCATGCTACCCTCATGTGGATTTATACTAGTGAGTGAATGCCCTAGGTCTTGGGAAAATATCCATCTCAGTTCAAAGAGAAGTCATTTTTGCAGAAGAGCTCCCTTGGAAACACAGAGGAACAGAAGAGAACCCAGGAGCAAAGCTGCCCTCCAAAAACAGGTCAAACAGAGGCCAAAGGGGTTCTGTAGTTTCAGGTCAGCGGAAGTTAACTTCAGTGCTGGAGAGTTGATTGCACATATGGTAAGAGGAGGGAAAAGAGGCCTCTAAAGTCACTCAGTGGGCTTTTTTTTTTAACCTATAGTTTGTTCCATGAGTATCACCAGAAGCTGCAAAGAGAAAGAAGGTGCCACCAGCTCAATGAGGAGTCCTTGATTGCCCCTTCACCCAGCACATTCTGTATTTTCTCATAGAATTTCCAGTTAATCTCACACAGAAGCAGTCTAGACAGCGGAATGGACACACTAGGATAGCTGATTATTCTTGTGTCACTTGGGGTCAGGACATTAGGCACTAGTCAACATGTTTGTTGTTGCTGTTGTTTTTAATGCTTTTATTTTAACAGTACTTCTCAACTTCGTTTTGGTAAAAACTCACTTTACATGTCTATTGGTTTTAACAGTAGCATAAAGTGTTGTATATGAGTGCTATCAATTTTTGTCACCTATCATATGTATAGATGAGGTGATGTTTGCATATCTTCCAAAGTGTTTATAAATATTTCCTTAGGATCAGTGTATATAGGGCTCTGGTTTAACAGAAGGTTTCCATGAACTATGATTTCTGTCACAGAGGAGTCGGGGCTCCTGAGCAAATGTGGTTCTGTTGTGGTTCACCTCCCACAGGAGATGCCATTCTGTTACTCCTGTTTTGTTGAGGAAGAACTGAGGCCCAGCAGTCTTTCTGAGGCTGTGCCTAGGCTCATGAGTGTGGTGCTAGAAGTGGAAGGAAGTCTCAGAGGTCAGTAGTGGGACACAGTTCTTCCAAGGACCCACTCCTCTTCAGAGCCTAGCAGGCCCTGGACCCAGCATGAGCTTCACAAATCCTCTTAGCAAACTGAAGCATCAAGATAATGATTATTCCTGCTTCATGTCTGAGGAGATTGTGGCTTGGAAATGTTACATACTTATCCCAAAGTCACATAGCTAGGTAGTCTGGGGCCAGGACTTAAACCTAGATATTTGATTCTAAAACCCAAGCTCATAATGGCAGCACCCTGGTTACTTAGTGTGGTCTTCCAGTGACATCAGCATCACCTGGGAACCTGCTGGAAATGCAGAAGCCCAGGCCATGTTCCAGTCCTATTCCCTCCTGCTCCCTTAGGTAGGCACATGAATGTTTGCAGTGTACACCATTCGGATCTCCAGGCCCAGGCATTAGCTCTGTTCAGTGTCTTTGCTTTAATCTCAGCTTCTAGAACTGAGAGATAGAGCTACAAAATCATACCAAAAGCCTGTAGACTAAAGCTTAGAAAGATTGCAACACCAAACCGCGGTTGCTCTACAGAACCACAAGCCCTAAATCTGCTGCCACCTCTCCTTTGGTCTGACAGTAAGCAGTCTGGGCTGGCCAGCAACCTCACTCTGGCCCTTCCACGTGGTCACTCCCCTCTCCTGGCACCAGAGCAGGAGCCTGGCACCTCCTAGAGGAAGAGAAAATAACAAAGGGCTCATAGGATCTTCTTTGATAAGCCTTGCATTTACCCAGCAATATACATATTATTGATGATAATTGCACATTAGTAATGCATTGTTCACATGTAATTTTGGCAGAGGTAACACATTTTAATTCAAAAGACATAGAACTATGCAAATGATTGATCACTCACAAATCAAAAAGTTATTAAATATACACTCTTATTTGATTACCCAAATTTCTGCCAGCCTCACTGTGGTCATTATAGTATCACCAGTTGACATTCTACCAACCAAACAGAAGCTAGTTACTGGAAGAATGCTTCATCTTCTCTTCAGCCTCCGCTCTTTAAAATCAAATGCAGAAGATGCCTAAGTTGAGGCAATGTGCTGAGCACATAGCTGTGAAGAGTATTACAGGGCAGCATGAAATCAGGACAGGGTCTTGGGAGTATCATCCCCCTTTTGGTGTTGTCTTCCTCTCCAAGAGCCCATAACTTCCAGGCTGGCTCTGTCTGACACTCTCTCTTATCCTGAGTGAGGGGTGGCAAGTATCACCACATCAAGGGGGATGTACATTTTACTAGCAGGATCTGGAAAGAATCATGTTTAACCTACAGGCTTGGCATAGGAATGGTGCAATTGTCTCTATTTTAAAAAGCACAGAATATAAAATGTGGAGGAACCTTAAACATATCATCTGTGACACTCCCATTTTACAGATGAGAAATTTGACCCCAGCAATGTGGTTTACCCAGTAACACCACTGCAACTCAGAGCTGGCTTTCCTGTCATCTGGTGGGTGCTCCTTACATTTTGCTCCCTGCTCCTCAATTTTGTGATTTAGATCTTGAAGGAAGAGGTCTTACCAAGGGCCTCTTTTGTTCTATGTCTTCAGAGGGAGGACAAAGCTTGTATCAGGCAGTGATGTTCCAGATACAAGGCCTTTCACAGACCTGCAGGCACACAGCAATAGACAGATACACCCATGCCTGGGCCTGGGGTTTGGACGATTGCTGTTCAGTGTAGCAGCTTTATGAAAACATTAAATGTCATTACTTATTTCTTCATGTCCAAAATGTATACTTCAACATTTTTTCTCTGTAGACAAGTGTCACTTTTACTGCAATCTTCAGGCCAGATGTTCTTGGTATAAGTGGTAACAGCTGCCACGCTGGCAGGAGTGTGGCTCCAGCCAAGTCACTTTGCAAAAGGGCCCAAAAGCCCTCTCTGCGAGAACACTGACATGACAGGAGAAACCCATACCTGGCCCGCCCTGAGCTGCTCAGGAAACCACTGTGAAGGCTGAAACAGGGGTATTTGGGGAGGGCAGTTTGCCAAACCGCTGGCTGCATTTCCCTCTTCCTCAGTGATGAGCTGGAGTCCTGGGTAGGGAGTGCCGAATCTGCCTCCTTTCCTTCGAGCTTCTTTCAAAGCAGTGTTTGTAGTGCCAGCACCCATTATCCACATCCTCATTGGTCTCAGGACCCAGCCATTGCCCTTGCTTTCTGTCATACTTGCCAGAGTCTTCTATGATCTTCAGTTGACATTCTATTGTTTTGGAATTTTGCTCAAGTTGCAGCCGCCTGGTAGCATTTATCTTCTCAGTTCCCCTGGGCCTTGGTGAATTCCTCAGTAAGGTCCCATCTCAGCATCAGCATTTCCAGAAAACACAGGCACAATTTGCCTTCATCTTCAGCTAAGGCTGAAGAACTTGATTCAGCCAAAAAATAACTGTTGCCTTTGCAATTTTGGCCGTCTGGCTGAAGGGTCTGTTATCCAAGAATGCCATCCTACTGAGTAAGGTTGAATTTATAAGACACATGAATACATGGACAGACACACAAACACACTCTCTCCAAAACATAGCTATGGATGGCTGCAGCGTGATGCTTTCTCCAAGAGATGGCGAGCTCATTCAAACAAAGTCTTGGCTCCTTCCCACGAATGGTGAGGCCAGCATTTAGCTGGCATAAATCACTTTAGGTTTTGAGACTGGCAAGGTGTGAACTCAAAGGATGGAAAACCTTTTGGGCATGGGCTTTCCAGAAGCCAGTGGCTAGCAGAGGTCACTTAGCCCAGGGCCTCCATGAGTGGTCCAGCCATTGCCCCTCCATCCAGGATCATGCGCCTCAGCCCTGTAAAGAAGCGGCTTCCTCCCTAGAAAGATCAAGAGGTGGTGGAAAGAGCTGGGCTTTGGAATCACATGGAACTTGCTTCTAGCCCATGTTTCTAGAACATGCCTCTCCCTAGCTACTTGTTTTTGTGCAAGCAGCTTAACCACCTGAAACTTCAGTTTCCTCATCTGTAAAAACAGGATGAACACAAGTTCTATGGGATTATTGTGATTAATGAATCAACGTTTGTAAAGTTCCTGTCACACTTTACAAAAGGGAATAACTGATAAATGCTATTTTCTTCTTCTGCAGACAAGATAGTGATTTTTATCACTTATTGAGCTGAAGGATCTTTTAGGAGAATTTCCTCCTCAAAATCAGAACCATTTTCAAGCCTGGTTCTGCAAGTACAGTAAGAACAACTGTGCCTATTATTACACCAGTGTTGCTCAGTTCTAAGTCCACCTTTCTATGTTCTGCTGTGTGACACTGAGGCTGGGATCTGCAGGCTAAAGTTTTCCTCAGTCAGGTGCCTTTCTCTTAAATTTTGCAAATAGGGCATGGGAGCAGCAAGCAGGGGTTGGCCTGTGGCAATGGCCTTTCACTTAGCATCGCCAGTTGGTTCCAATCTTGAACTTCTTTCAGCACTCCCAGAACCAATCTCATAAAGCCCTAGGAAGGTGCCCTTCCCAGCAGGGCAATACCTGTTCTCAAAGAGCTGAGCCTCTACTCCATGGACTTCTTATTAAGACTTCCTGAGTCACCCAGAGGCAGCAAGGATGTGCTGCCTCCTCAGAGGGCTGAGCCCAGTCCTACAGGGTTCGTCCTCTGAGCTTCTAGATGCTGACACCCCCAATCTTTGCCTTTGTTTCCCCACCCTTTTCCTAGTACTCCCAGCTTGCTTTCTTGGACCAGTTTAACCCATCTTCTGTATTAAATTCTCTCTGTTGAAATGACTGGTGTGATTCCTGTTGTCCTGACTGGACCCCAACTGATGCACGGATCAAGAGTCCCAGTTTGCCTAGACGATCCTCATTCACACTGGCTTTCCTAGGATCTTGTGTTGTTTAGCATTCATCCCAGACACAATTGTCCTGGTTTCTGTGATAAAATGTAAGGTCGTTTAGTTACGGTTCTTCCCTTTAACAGGCCACGGATGAAGAACTTTAAACACCTGACATATTAGATTCCTTACTGCAGATTTCTATAAATTCTCTTTGATTTAGAGCCATACTTGTATTCGCCTAGGACCAGACTATTCCTATTGATTGTTTAAAAAGAGGAAACTTCTTGAACACAGCTTAGTACTGAAGCTACAAAAGCATTGCCCATCCTGTCTTTCTTGTAAATCTACACATTAGCCCATGAGTGGTTCTCTTTCTAGTTGATTCCCAGCCTGACCTTCTAGGGAAGAAATTTCTTCCACTTAGAATGTTTTATAAACAAATACCTTAGTTTTCATTCTGTAAGTTTTTTGTTACACTAAGGTCTTCCTTCCTACGTGATCCTAAAGTGACTAAACCTAAAGGTACTTCAGGATGTTCTCTTTGCCTGGGATGACATGCTCCTTCTCTTCTACCTACTTATACATTATCCTCCCATCTGCTCAAATACCATTGCCTCCTGGAACTCTCCCCCAGCTAGTGTCTTCCCCCTCTTACAAGCCTATTTCATGTAATTCTCCAACTCACTTTGGCACTGTACCACCTTCTTATTGGGCTTGGTATCTTTTACAAGGGGGTCTTGTCTTGTGTTTATTATAACTTTAAACGCATCTTTAACTTGTTAATTTGACCAACTGGTCAGTTCCTTGGTCGAACTGTTTGTGCTTTTTCTTTGAATCCCTTGCAGCACTCATCAATCTTTTTTTACTCCAATAATTCCAAGCCTCTTTTATTTAGTCCATTTATGTCCTTCCCCCTCCTGTTCCCTTACATACCCCCCAAGTTCACATACATACCAGGATCATTTCCACTTCTGTACTTTGGTTCACGTTATTTCCTCAGTTCAGAGCATTCCTCCCCCTTCACATCACTCATCCTTCCTGAATCATCCTTCAGAAGCTTCCTCTGACACTCCAGGCTGAGCTAAGGCTCCTTTCTCTGTGCCACCATCGTACCTTGTCACAATCCCTATTATTACATTGCTGCATTACACTAAAACCATCTTTTACATGCCTGGCTCTTCTAGTAGACTTCACAACACCAAGGATAAATGATGTGTCCTGTGCACCTCAGTTCTCAGAGCATGTAATACAATACCTGTCACATCGGAGGAACTTGATAAATGCTTATTGACCTAAACTTAATACATTTTTGCTGAATGATTGAGTGACATTGAGACAGCAATTCTATGAGCTGCCATTTTTCTACCCTGGACACATATTTATCTCCTCTCTTTCCCTGCCAAAACCCCAAAGATTGCTTCGCTACACTGTATAATCTTTCTGTCACATCTCTGACACACAAAACACATGTAATCATTCCATTATGAGGCCTGGCACTAAGTTTAAGCTGAGTGTGCAGATTTATTGGATCTTGTACCAGGAAACCAGTGAGGCAGGGGTTTAGAGGGATTTCCCAAGGGGACGTAAAATGTTCATGAGCCCTTGTATTTAGAGGCAATTCTATGCTCCTGTGGGAGCCTCAACTGTCCTTGCAGATTGCATTTCTCCATCTACTTTTGAGATACGCAAGCAGCCTACTGCTGTGGGCTGACAGGTAACAAGCAACCTGTATGTTGAACACTCACAGCAGCCTCACTTAATGACGAGAACGCATGCCACTACTGACTTACTGTTTTAGTGCAAAGATGAGCTGCATATAATTTGAACATCTGTTCATTTGAAAATGCGTTTGGTACACTGGCTAGTTTGCTTTGCTGATATGCTTGTGAGTTCCTCTTCTTGGAAAGGATAGATAATAGAGGCAGATGACAAGTGTCCAGTGGGTATTCTAACATTCCCCAAGTGTTTACCTGTCCCTTTTGCCTCAGGAATGTGTGTTTTCCAAATCTTCTTCAAACTTTAAGACCCAACTTAAATCCCACCTCCTCTAAAAACCTTCATCAACCATTCAACCATTCAGGCTTTTAGGACCCTCTCTTGAAGTTCTGAAGATGAATGATTTCCATTGTAGTGCTTGATGGAATTGTCTAAAAAGGACAGGTTAGTGCCAAGAGCCCTGGGCTGAGATTTACAAATCCCATACTGGGTCCAGGTTCCTTTGCTATGTGGGCTAAATTACTTCAAGTTGTTGCATTTTTTTTCCTCCAACCACCTTCTTCTCCTTTTGCTCCTCCTTCTCCTTTCTTTCTCCTCATGAATTTTGGAGGGGACACAAATATTCAAACCATAGCATTCCACTCCCGGCCCCCCAAAATTCATGTACTTCTCACATACAAAACACACTGATTCCATTCCAATAGTCCCAAAATTCTTAACTCATTCCAGCATTAACTTTAAAGTCTAAGCTCAAATTCTCATCTAAGTATCATCTAAATCAGATATGGGTGAGATTCAAGGTGTGATTTATCCTGAGGCAAATTTGCCCTCCAGCTGTGAGCCTAGGAAATCAAATAAGTTATGTGCTTCTAAAATACAATGGTGGGACAGGAATAGGGCAGACATTTCCATTCCAAAGGGAAAAACAGGACATAAGAAAGGGGTACCAGGTCCCTACTAAATCTAAAACTCAACAAGGCAAACATTAAATCTTAAGGCTCCAGAATAATCTTCTTTGATTCCAAGTTCTACCTTCCAGACACACTAGGGCAGGGGTTGGGCCCCAGAGGTTCCTAGCAGCCCCGCCCCCATGGTCTTACTGGGTGCAGCCCAATAAGGGTTGGAGTCAGGTGCCTGCAGCTATCCCAGGCTGGCATTGCACACTGGTGGCTCTATAGTTCTGGGACCATGGAAATGGCCCTGCTCCCATGGCTTCACTAAGCACTGACCTAGTGGAGACTTTCTGTGGTGGCCCCAACCCCATGACTCTGCTAGGCATTACCCTACTGATCATTCTCTGTGGTGGCCCAAACTCTGTGGTAGTTCTATGCCTAGGTCCCAAGGCTCTCTGGGGCATCTTTCGCAATTTAGGTAGAGGCAGCCATGCTGCCATAGCTTGTGTATTCTGCATGCCTGCAGAGTTAGCATCAGGTGGACACTGCCAAGGATTACCACTTGTGCCTCTAGAGCAGCAGACGAAGCTGTACCTGGGCTTATTTGAGCCACAGCTGGAGTGGTCAAGGAGCATTGTGCTGGAATGCAGGGAGCAGAAACTTGGTGCAGCAAGCCCCAAGATCCTACAGGAGCACTGAGTCCTTTTTCTGAAACCATTCTGCTCTAAAGACCCTAGCACTCTGGGCCTGTGATGGGAGTGGCAGCCTGGAAGATCTCCAATACGCCTTTACAGTTATTCTTCCATTGTCCTGATTAATAGCACCTGTCTTCTACCTATCTGTACAAATGTCCTCATTAAACGGTTGCTTGGCCACACCCTTGGTGTTTTCTCCCAGACATACTTTTTATATTCTTTACAATATTGTCCAGGCTGAGAATTTTCCAAAAGTTTAAGTTCTGCCTTCCTTTTGATTATAAATCCTGTCTTTAATTCATTTCTGTCTTCTTGAATTTTACTGTAAGTGGTCAAGGGAAGCCGTGCAGCACCTTGAACACTTCTCTTAGAGATTTATTTTGCCAGTTATCTCGGTTCATTGCTCTTAAGCTCTGCTTCCACAAAACATTAGGACATAGACACAATTAAGCTAAGTTCCTTGCCATTTTGTAACAAGTATGATCTTTCTAATAAGATGTCTCCAATAAGATGTCCCCCATTTCCATCTAAAATCTCATCAGAATATCCTTTACTGTCTGTATTTCTATCAATGTTCTGATCACGACCACTTAAGTAATCTCTAAGATTGAGGCTCTGTCTATAGCTCTCCTGATCTCCTGAGTCCTCACCAGAATCCTCCATTATGGGCCATTCATGGCAATCTAGGATTTTTCTAGCATGCACCTCCGAACTCCCCCAGCCTTTACCTATTACACAGTTCCAAAGCTGCTTTTACATTTTTAGGAATTTGCTAAAGCAACAACCTGACTTCCTAGTACCTATTTCTGTCTTTGTTTATGCTGCTATAACAATATACCACAAATGAGTAATTTATAAGCAACATTTATTTCTCACAGTCCTAGAGGCTGGGAAGTCCAAGATCAAGGTATCAGAAAAATTGGTGTCAAGTAAAGGCCATTCTCTGCTCACAAGATGGTGCCATGTTGCTGCATTCTGTAGAGGGGCTAAACACTGTGTCCTCATAAAGCAAAAGGGATGGAAAGCAAAAAAGGGCCTAACGTTTTTCCTCCAGCCCTTTTATAAGGTTACTAATCACCCCGTGATGGCAGAGCCCTCATGGCCTTATTACCTTCTAAAGATCTGACCTCTTAACACTGTTGCATTAAGGATTAAGCTTCAACATAAATTTTGGAGGGGACACAAATTCAAACTGTAGCACTGCCCTTCAGTGAAGTTTTAGGCAATGTGCCTCAAGTGAAGTAGAAAATGTAAATGGAGGCCCAGGCTAGAATCAAGACAGTATGGGACCTCAAAGGAGAACAAGAAGTAAAAGCAATGCTTGTCAGAATCAGGCAGAGGACCTCTTTGAATGGCTCCGAACCACTTCCAGATGGCAGAGAAAAGGGTACTGAGTGGCACTTGGCGAGGCTGCAGACCTTGCCTAACACCAGCCTGTGGGTTCATAGTAGGGGAATGGTTACATTCTCTAAGCAATTAAAGCTGGAGACCGAGGGCAGAAATAGTTCAGAAAAGAGTGATGGGAGCCAGTGTTGGCTGGAAAAGCTCAGCCAACATTGGGACTGGTTGGCTATTTGCAAAGCTAGACACTCTTGCATTTCTCTTTTTTTTCTGCATTTTTTTCTTTTTGGGAAAATACTTTAAAAGTACTTTAAATATTGATAAGCTAAAGGGAAAGACCTGTGAATTAGTCAGAGTTCTCCTGAGAAACAGACAAATATCTCCTTATAATAAGGAACTGGCTCATGCAATTATGGAGCCCAACAAGTCCCAAGATCTGCTGCCAGCAAGCTGGAGACCCAGCAGAGCTGATGGTACAGATTTAGTCCAAGTCCAAAAGTCCAAAAGCCAGGAGAGTTAGTGGTGTGGTTCCAGTCCAAAGTCAGTAGGCTTAAGACCAAAAAGGTAGAATTTTTAGTTTGAGACTGAAGGCAGAAAAAACTCAATGTCTCAGCTCAAGCAGGAGGAGTTTTCTCTTACTTAGCCTTTTTGTTCCATTCAGATCTTCAGTTGATTGGATGAGGTCCACCTATATTAGGGAAGACAATCTACTTTATTTAATTTATATATTTAAATGTTAATTCCATTCAGACATACCCAGCATAATGTTTGATCAAATATCTGGGCACCCTGTGGCCCAGTCAAGTTGACATATAAAATTAGTCATCACAATCCTGTACCCTCTTTGTCTTATCTCCTGGAAAGTGTTAATGGTGGAAGAAAATAAGGAAAATCTCAAAACTGGTCTTTGAGGGCTTAGGGAAACAGAAGTTCTCTTACCTCACCTTTTCCAAAGAACACCAAACAGTGTAGGTATATTGGAGATTGGGTGGGAGCAAGCGTTATATCTGGGGACATTTTGTATCCAAAATACAAATAATTATTCTAGTTCTTACTGTCTCTTGACTGTTACTTATATTCCCAGTAAGGCTTAAAGTCCTCTAAGAACAGGAAAGGAAATCCCCTCTCTCCTCACTCCCCCCACCATACCATTCACCCAAAGCTGAGTTTACTAAATGCTAAATAGTTCACAGACAAAGCCCCTAGGTGTCAGGCAGCACTGCTACTTGAAACGTTCATTGTGCTCATTAAGGGAGAATCATCTCCTTTCCAGAACTCTATCCATAGAAGGTGTGTAAAATGCTTAAAGATTCTAAAACAGCTAATTTCTACTATAAGAAATGAAATTAAACAAATTCATAAGTGCATCACTTAAAGTAATTATTCTTTAAGTTAATATGGTGTCTTTATCACAGGGATTCATACAGGAAACCATTTCCTATGTCTGAACCTTCACATCAAGAACAGAAATGAAAACAAACTCATGATAAATTCAAGGACATAATTCAATGTGTGGAATAGGTAACAACTATTTTAACAAAGAAAAAAGAGTTTAACTGAAATAAATTATAACAATTACATAAGTTTAAACAAAACTTAACTTTAATAACTTTACTTTTTTCCTGTCCAAACAAGACCTTAGCTGTGTAGATGAATAAAATATATGTCATTAAAAACATTATGATCATTTGTACATTTAAATTTTTCATCTTTTTTTTAACATAGCTGTATT